AATTTGGGAAGTTCTTCCCATCCAGCCTCAGTCCTTTCCCCCTGTTTCTTGCTCCAACAGCCTTGTTCCAACAGTGAACACGTGATGTTGAACAGGGCACCAAGGGAGCTTTCTCTGAGCCAATGTGTGGGCCTCTGCCTTTACTCAGTGACCTTTCTCCCAATTTAGAATATATGTTTATACATGGACACGCATGTGCAAAATGCCAGCTGTAAGCCCAAGTTCTTTATAATACTGTTTCTAGTATTCATAAAATAATCCAACATTTAGATAATTTAGTAATTTTTGCAATCTTAGTTAAATACAATTTTTAAAAAGTAATGTTTGTTGATCATTTTGAATATGGTTCTCACATTTAGTAGGTGTTTTGGTCTGGTTTAAAAATGGCAATGAAATTTTATTTGCTTCATTTGCTGCCAATTTATACAAACAAAATGGTATTGGTTAAGTTCGTATTTGTAAATAAAATTGGGGTTAACCAGACAGGAAAAGCTTAGCATCATGAGCTCTGATGATTTCAGGCTGTCTTCACCTTCTAGAACTTTCTTTTTCTATTTTTTTTTATTACATATATCTATTTTGTGAAATTGTGTATGCTGCACTGTTTTGTGGCAGTGCAGCTGCAGAAAACGTTTAGCCTGTATTTAGCAAAATACAGGCTAAACATTTTTAGCCTGTTTTTTAATTAGTAGTTTGTCCTAGCATTCTTACAACATTTCCATTAAGTTATACCAGCCATTCATGTCGAAGTGACTAGAGAGATCGCTAACACGCTTTCGGTCTACAGTTTGAAGGTTTTTCTGTCGACTGCTGCTCGTTTCCTGTGTGGTTAAACATACTTGGCTTGTACAAACACATTTGGTGTGTATCTCTGTGCATTTTTTTTTTCTTCTGTCTTCCTTGATCTAAGCAGTGCATAACTGCAGAACCAGTTTGCAAATTTCAACAGTAATTTGCATGCATTCCCGACAATGTTGTGATGGCAGACTGGGCAGCAGCTGGGCAGGCCCAGTGTTACCACAGTTTGCTTACTTCCTCTGAAAGGCTTAGTCAGAACTGGTGGCCAAAACATTTCTTCATCTTTCCGACTTTCCTGTTTATCTTCTGTTATATAAGGCCATTTATGAATAGGTGACAAATAGCCAGGTATGGCTATTGGGTTTGAGTTGAAAGTTTGCGCGTTTGCTGTCATTTGTTTTCACCTCAAAGTTTAGAAGATTCAGTACGGGACCCTTGCCCTTTTCACTTTTTTCTTTTTCTTTTTTTTTTTCCATTTATTTATTTATTTTGCTTTATGTACCTTATGTCAGAGACTTTCTGTGGTCTCAGGCCTGGAATTGCTTCCTGTGCCGACATCCCCTATAACGATGACGTTGGAACTCACCTTACGCTGCTCATTGTATTGTTGTTGTTTATTGATCACAAAGTTTCTTTCTTAATAAAATATTCACAGAGGAAGAACTTATGAATGATGACTTAATAATTCATTTAAAAAGCACATGCACTGGTCTTATTTGCACAAACAAAGCTGCCTGTGTGTACTATTGACCGTACGGCACAAATAGAATCTAAATCAAATAGAAACGTACAAACAGAATAGCAGAAGCGTAATAGATTTCTGTCAATCAACAAGTGAATTATGTAATCATTACAGCTGTAGGTAGTAAGTACGGTGAGAAGGGATTGCAACAAAAACATGAAGCGCCTGTCTTTAGCTCGACTGAGACTGAATTTAGCGTAATGCTTGCTGCTTAGCCACACCTCATGTTCTGCACCTGGCCCCGAGGAGCTTTAGTTCACATACACTTGTGTTAATTCTACAATGGGGTTTCCCATCTGCCCCCCCACCTCTAACCCTTCTTGTGGCAGCATTTGGAGCACAGACTGTATGAAGTCACTTGGTCCATCTGGGCAGCTATCCACAATCCAGTTGCTTTTCATCTTTTTAGCATAAGCTGTCATTGTGGTGTCCTTGGTGTGTATTTGTGTGCGTGTCTGGTTCTTTTGTTCTTTGGTGGTTTTTTTTTTTTTTTTTTTT